TTGTAATGTTACAATGTTAGAAGAATGTAATGTGATTTTAACCACCTTTTTGCACAAAATATATTGCATAGCCTACATTACATTCACTATATTTGTTTCCATATCCTTCAATATCAACATTGTTTGTAGGATATTATTCGGCAGGATGTGAAATAATTTTTTAAAAAATAAATACAGATTTTCTTTATCCAAATAAAGTACCGAGATATATATTGTTATTGTATATCACCATTTAACCAAAAACAGAGACATGCTTTTTTGGCCATGTCGCCCAGCCCTACCCTCATGTAGGCTTGCTACGATAGTCGGTGTCACCGTTGTTCAGAAGCAACTCCGGTTCCATCACTTTCCCACTGAGGCACCGCCCTGTGCCGTCAATTTTGAATTGTTACCCAATTGTTGAGAAATGTCCACGGGCGCGGAGCGAGCAGAACAGAGCTTGCGTTTTCAGTTAATTCCTATAGGAATTAATTGAAAACGCTCGCTCTGCGCCACACCATTATGAATGCCCGTGCGGACGTGCGCATTTTAGTTTCGCTTTCAAATGAGTAATTTAAAAGCCCCTGCCGGTGATACCGGTATCACCGGTGTTGTCACACGTCAAATAACCGGTGGGAAAATATCCTCACCGCCACATCCCTACCCCCATGTCATCCAAGATGTTCATTGGATGAACAAGAAATTAAGGTTTTTGAGGGAAACATTCCAGGATTTTTCTCCGTATAGTAGACTTCATCGGGGACCAACGGCTTGAAGGTCCAAATTGCAGATTCAATGCAGCCTCAAAGCGCATATACTTTTTAACCACAAATGCTCGTCTTGCACTAGCTCTGTGATGCCAGTCCACGACTTCATGCATTACGTAGTGACATTGGAAAGGTCACGCATGACATAGACGGAAATACCAACCCAGTGTTTACAAAGCGAACGTGCAAAGATAAAATGCCCTTTACAAAAAGAAAGGGTAAAACAACGATGTCGGACGATTTTGAAGTTGGAGGGGAAAATGAGATGAGCCTACGTAATGCGTGAAGTCATGGATGTGCATCACATAGTGAAAGACGAGCATTTGTGGTTAAAAAGTATATTCATGTTTAGATAAGACACTTATTTCTCAGCTGGGATCGTGTAGAGCCCTTTGAATCTGCTCTGAAACTGCAATTTGGACCTTCAACCCGTTGGTCCCTGTTGAAGTCCACTATATGGAGAAAAATCCTGGAGTGTTTTCCTCAAAAAAACCTTAATTTCTTTTTGAATGAAGAAAGAAAGACATGAACATCTTGGATGACATGGGGGTGAGTAAATTATCAGGAAATTATAATTCTGGAGTGAACTAATCCTTTAACATTAATTTATTGGGATTTTTTTATAAGACATCAATCTGCATATGTATGTACATTATACTAACAATTAAAAAATATTGCAGGCTTTAATAGGCTTGTAAACGTTAAATGATGTGAAAGCAACAATTTATTAACTTCTAAAGGCCCTGTGTGTTATATCTATTCAATGCTTTTGTCTTCAACAATAATGGCATGTCTTTGAACTATCTTAATTTGGTGGCTTTAGTCAACTAATATTTTGCATATAATTGTGATTATTACATTTAAATTACAGCTGTTGTTAATTCAATAGACTGCCCTAGTATAAAATGTTTTAATTTCATTGCAAAATTTATTGGGTTTTTTAACCTCTACTGCTAGCAAGGGTTGTCTTAAAGAGATGTCTGCTCTAATCTATACAGCAGATGTCCCAAGAAACTCCCATAGTGCATTTTTAATGATTTTATGAAAAAGTCTTTTTAAACTTTGATCGGACTTAAAAGACCATTTGAAGTGTGTTGTTTTAACAAACTAGACATGCATGTTTAGACCGTAGAAAATGCTTACAGTATAGAGTAAGAGAAAAACTCAAGGAAACAGGTTGTTATAGATAAATAATCTTTAATACAGCCATAGAAATAGCAAAAACACAAAATGAACTTCTTAGCATGGCAAGTTGCATCCATAAAATGACATGTGTTTGTGATTAATGTTCATATGACGTAATATGACAAACATCCATTGCTTTCCATGTTGAAATATATGCTTCCTCCAGTTAGGGTCAAGAAAAGCTATAAAACAAACAACATTTAGTGATGAGGACTGAAATTTAACATGTGGCCTTGTTTCAACAGTTGCACGATCACTGTCTCTGGTTCTTTGTTGCATGTTCAGGACATAAAGAGTGAGTGGATGAGCATGTGTTACCAAGTCCTGAGAATAACAACTGTTGTGGCAGACACAGGTTCACACAGAGCTGTTTTGTTTTGATGTAGGCAAGTAATGCATGATATGCTGTATAATATTCACAATGATTTTCTGAGAATAAATAGGATAATAAATATGGAGCTATTTAAAGTATTAAGAATGAAAGCTATGGAAGTACAGAGGGGAAAATGATCCCTCCCAAGTGAGCGCAAGAGAAATGAGTTGCAGGGAGGGCTAATTGGATTTACATGTGTGCGGTGCTAAAATGAGTTCCTTGTAAAAGTTAGCCATTTTCTGCAGTTTATATATTGTGAGGAATACAGAGGTGGAGGGAAAGTGTAAATTGACACGAATTGTTAATGAATTGTATTTAACTGGTCTCTGTGTGTTTTGTGTCTTGGTATGATTTTGTGGTATGATCAATACAAGCTTTTCCAGTTAGTTAATTTAGTAAATGTCTTTTTAGTTAGAGCTGCACGATTAATCATTAAAAGGTCGCTATCTCGATTCAAACACCCACACACCCACATCTCATTCCTAAACAACAACGATTCGGCCATGTATATTAAAGCTTTGACAAAATCACACCGGAACATTCAAATCTGCGTTTGCGCTGCCACTGACCTAGAGAAAGCTGTTAGGCTATCTATGAAACAGTTTCACAAACAGCTTAGTCTTTTTAGCCACACAGTATCGTCATGTCCATGGCAAAAATATTTAAATGATCGCAGAAGTAGGGGAGAGTGGGGACACATTTTCCTTGTTTCTCAGAGACTGTTTGTATTGGTTGGGCAAAATTTGAACATTAAAGGGATAGTTCACCCAAAAATGAAAATTAGCCCATGGTTTACTCACCCTGAAGCCATCCTAGGTGTATATGACATTCTTCTTTAAGACGAATACAATCGGAGTTATATAAAAAAAATGTCCTGGCTCTTCCAAGCTGTATAATGGGTATATTTTTTTGGAAGTCCATCACAGCACATCCATCCATAATAAAAGTGCTCCACTTGGCTCTGGCGGGTTGAATTGAATAAATCCATATTTAAAACTTTATCGACTGAAATAACTCGCTTCCAGCAGACGGCCGTATGCCAGTCGACAAAAGAGTAGCCTAAGACTTGACGATGCATGACGTAGGATGTAGGAGTAGCGTAAGTTTTGACGCCTCTCGCGGTTCAAACAAACAGGGCTGGGCAACCACTTTCGTCATTACGTTGTGCGTCAAGTTCAGGGGTTAGTCTTACGCCGTAAATTGATGCGTACGGCCGTCTGCTAGTTATTTTAGTCGATAAAGTTTTAAATATGGATATTTTTCTTACACGAACGCATCGCTTCACTTCAGAAGGCCTTTATTAACCCGCCAGCGCGGTGTGGAGCACTTTTATCATGGATGGATGCGCTTTGATGGACTTCCAAAAAAATATACCCATTCACTCCCATTATAAAGCTTGAAAGATCCATGACATTTTTTTAATATAACTCCGATTTCATTCGTCTGAAAGAAGAATGTCATATACACCTAGGATGCCTTCAGGGTGAGTAAATCATGGGCTAATTTTCATTGTTGGGTGAACTATCGTTTTACTGAATAATTAAGTAAACCTAATTTCTTACTTTATCTTTGTAAAGAAACCTCATTGCTTAACTGGCTACTCTCTGATGTCTCAGACGACGACATGTTTTACTGTCGGCCACCGTAACTTCTGTTGGTTGCTATAAATATGAGGGCCAAATGTCCTCACTTATGTAGTGAAATATTATGACAACTGACTAATGAGGACATTTTATTGGTCCTCACTAGTTAAAAGGGCTTATAAATCGTCTGAAACATGTTTTTAAAACATCTAGTGAAGGGCTGTCCGATCCTGCTCCTGGAGGGCCACTGTCCTGCAGATTTTGTCAGAACGTCATGTTGCAACTGTCCCTACTCCTTACAGTGAAAGCCATGATAAAAACTTGCTCTGCTAGCTTAACACAACAGCTTTGATGTAGCTATGCCTGTTAGAAGCTAACACTGATTAAAATATGACTTTACAATGCTTCATGCAAACAGTTTAGACACTATGACAAAAACTCAGATGATAAAAATATATATATATATTTTATTTAACTTGAAAAGTATTTTTTGCAGAAGGAATGGTCACATGTCCCTGCTTTCTTCCAGGTAGGAGGAGGAGCTAACTAAGCATGTGCATTATAAATATCATCACTGTAGCTTATTCCTAATTGGGGAAAAATGTTATACTTTGGATGTAAACACTGATGTCTACCTAAGCAATCACAATAGTGCAAATCACCATTTGCAAGTAATTTAGCGCTTCAAATAACAATTTAATCGATTACATCTTTACGCCACCAGGTGGCGACAAGGGACTATTAAAACATTTCCTCGTCATTGAATCATTCATTCAAGAGATGCATTAAAAAACGCTGATTAATCACTTGATGAAACAAGTGAAGTATTTATAAATGAGTCATTGAATCATTCATTTCAAACTGATTTCAAAAAAAATTATTAATTCCAATTGATTAAATATTTTAGATAGACTGCAGCAATTAAAATTTTGTCAGAACCTCTCTAGTAAATTCCATGATATGTTTTTTAGTTGTCTGTTCAAAATCGCGGGGAAATCGTGATCTTTCTTTGAAGAAAAAATATGTATTCTCAATGTATCCAGAATCATTTGAGTTCTAATCTTAATATAGTCATACTGGTTTAAAAGGGACTTCTCTCTCTGTTTGTGTCAGATGGTGAGTGAGAAGGTTGGTGGTGCTGAGGGAACTAAACTGGACGAGGAGTTCAAGGACCTGGAGAGAGTAAGTGGAGATAATTTTCCCACACCGCTGCCAATAGTCTTTCTAAAAACATTGATTTAAACGCATAAAATGATTCAAAGGCTTGACCTCTGTCCCACACATCCATCAATGAGATTTTCTACACTACCTGTGTTTTTGTGGAAAGTTTCTTTTATTTTCAAAGTGAAAGTGATGTGGCTGTAGTGATCCATGTCAAGTCAAGTCATCTTCATTTATATATCGCTTTTAACAATGGATTGTTTCAAAGTAGCTTTACAGAGATAAACATATAATTTAAGGTAACAGACATTGTTTTGGCTTTATAGCGGTTCTTGAATAATGTTATTTCCAGCTAAAGTTAATTTTGATTTTGATCCATTATTGTATGTTTTTATAATTATTTGACATATTTATTCACTGCAGTGTCTTTGGCTAAAATCTTATTTTAATAATCCAATCCTTTAAACATGAGTGATATCATCAGAGGTCTCCTTAAAATATTGCTCAATGGTATACATTTAACTTTGTTCTAACACTAAACTCTGTGTTTTCACAGATTTGACAGATGCCTCTTCATTCAGTTGCTCTGTAATTACATGTTTTAGTAGATGATTTAATAGAATACAGGCAAATAAAGAGAACTAATAAATGAACTTGAAATATTGATTTGTTGAAATGGCCTTATTATGTGAGAAGCAAGAGACTTCAGTGCTACAAAAGCCATTTAAGTAGCACAGTCAAGATTGATTGCCTTAGATAACTTTCACAAAAATATTTGACCACAGAATGCTGCGATCAGAATCAAGAACCTGAAACATTCCAGAGTGCCGTGTAATTTGAATTTAGTTTTAGACGTTGATTAATTAGACTCTGTTCTTATTGTTACATGTTATAAAAAAGCCATTTTGTCTTTTTATTCTGTGTTGGTTATTGTGTTTTGCTTGTAGCGTTGCATGTATACGTGTTCTCTGTGCAGTGACCTCCCCTCTGTGTTTCTGTAGAAAGTAGATGTGACAAATAAAGCTGTGGTAGAAGTCATCTCTAAAACATCAGAGTACCTGCAGCCCAATCCAGGTAAGACCAAAGACATCCATGGAGCTTTTATTTAGCTTGCTGTCTAAGGTTTATACACTTTTTTTTTCGGCAAAACCTGCACACAATTGATCGTTATTGTAAAATGTTTCTGTCTTTTCCATTCTATTTCTATTTCTCTTTCTCTGTTGTTGCCACTGTTCTTGTCTTTCTGTCTCACACAGCATCTCGTGCAAAGCTATCTATGTTAAACACTATGTCTAAGATCAGAGGGCAGGTGAAGAGCCCAGGTTATCCACAGGCCGAGGGGCTGCTGGGAGAATGCATGGCAAAGTTTGGCAGAGAACTGGGAGAGGAAACAAACTTTGGTGGGTTTACAAAATGAATGCAGCTTTTAAAACTTCACAGATTTCATTTGCTGTTCTCCAGCTAACCAAATGCACAAAACAACCACATTTGTGTCTGTAGGTGGTGCTTTATTTGATGTTGGTGAAAGTATGAAGAGGCTAGCAGAGGTGAAGGATTCTTTGGACATTGATGTTAAACAGAATTTTATCGACCCTTTACAAGGCCTGTGTGACAAGGACCTAAGAGAGATACAGGTTTGCTTTCACTCTCTGTCTCACACACATATAGAGATACCTAGAGTATATAACTGAAAATGTTTTTATGTGACACCCACACTCTCAGAAAGAAATTTGCAATAATTTTACCTTTAGGGGGGTACAACAGCTTGTCACTGGAGCAGTACACCTGAAAGGATCATAGTTGTACCTTAAGGCCGGGTACATATTCTCTAAAGTAATAATATGCACCTAGTGGTAGATAAGGTACAACGTTGTCCCTGCCCCAGTGACAAGCTGTTGTGCCCCTAAAGGTACAATTTTGGCAAATTTTCTGACTTGTGCTAAAATGTGCTAGACTAAGAAATAAAGATCTGCACATTAATTGCATTTATGAAGAACTGTACAGTAGAATGCTCCTTTTGCTTCTTGAAGAATAGATTTTATATTTAGAGTTCATTTCCTTTTCTATGTTTTAATATGGTCTGGTTCCACACCAGTTATATTGAAAGTGTTTCCCTCTTTCTCAGCACCATTTGAAAAAACTTGAAGGACGCAGGCTGGATTTTGACTATAAGAAGAAACGTCAGGGGAAAATTCCAGATGAAGAGGTCAGGCAGGCGCTGGAGAAGTTTCATGAATCTAAGGAGGTGGCTGAGATCAGCATGTACAACCTTCTGGAAACTGATGTAAGGATTTACCATCTGACAGCTTGATGCTTCATTCAGTGTGTTTTTGTGCTTTTGTGTGTCCTGGGGATTGTTCTAATCCTATTAGCAGCACTGAATAATTCAGTGTTTTTCTGTAACACCTTGCCTTACTGATTTTATACCAACTCAACTGTCTTTCTTAAGCAATTTTGACTTTGAATTAAGACTGACACTTTAGAATTAGCAGTATCGAAGATGAAAATTTGACTACAGCCCATCAGTGGGGTGGGGTCAAGTCAAGACAGGTAATCCTATAAAGCTGCCAAAATGTTAAAAATCCTCTTGTTTCTTGGCTGCAGCTTTTATCTAATGTTTTATGGAGATGTCAGAGCGCCATCTGTTGGTTCAATATTACAATAACTTTATAAGGGAATAAACATTTGCTAGTGGAGTCTATGGAAAGACTATATTAAACTCATCAGGCTCTAGATGTAAAGTAATACACTGAAGATACTGTATGGTACAGTTTTAAATGATAGTAAATGTTTAGTGTGAACTGCTAGCAGAGCTCCCAGTCTAAATTCAGCAGTCTAGTGAGACCCGTGTGAACTCAAGGCCTCAGGAATTACTCATTAACTATTTGTGACTATTTGTTAATGAAGGTTGTTGTGGTTGCCCAGTGTGACCATAAGCGTGGATGTGCATAAGTGACAAATAAATATGTCTTTATATGTTTTATGTATGTGTGCTCCTTTGCAGATTGAGCAGGTGAGCCAGCTGTCGTCACTGGTTGAGTCTCAGCTGCAGTACCACAGACAGGCTGTTCAAATCCTGGACGAACTTTCTGACAAACTCAGTGACAGGTGTGTATGTGAGCACATGTGTCCTCCTTTCACAGCATGTGTGGTTGTTCTTGATTCTGTCAAAAGAGGCAATAAATGACTCCTGTTTAACCGCCCAGGATGAAAGATGCTCAGTCACGTCCTCGTAAAGAGTACATGCCCAAGCCCAAGCCTGTAATTGACTTTGGAGATCCCACCGAACAGTCGAACGGTGGCTTCACCCCAACATCTGCTCCACCCATGCGCAATACAGGTAAGACCAGACATTTTACCTGCTTTACAAAGTCATAAAATTTCCTCTATTATGTAGCCAGAATAACTTGAGGAATTGAGCTATTCTTGAACGAGGATAGATGATCTTCATTACATTGAGGAAATGCTTTGGACTAGTGAGAGAAAGGTACATTGTGCTTTGTGCGGTTGCTGCCCCGTGGCAGGGTGTGATGAGACCGCCTGTGCGTGTGTCGGGATAGACAGGCCAAATGGACAGCTGTCAGCTGCTCTCTTCGTCAGCCAGTGACCCTGTTCTGTGTTCTCTTCCCATTGCGTCATCAGAGCCATACCACCAGTCTGGCAGAATATCCACATGGAAACCCAGATTGCGTGAGTCAGATAGTGTGTGATTCTGTATGTTTGCATGGGAAAGTGTATGTGTTTGTGGTGGAGAAAAAAAAAAAAGCAAAACTGCAAAACACATTTTCTAGCAAGTCTTCTCTAATTAATAATTAATAAAAAAAAATGTTACAGTTAGATTTCATTTATCTAATTGTATGAAGCAGAACAGAATAGGAACGTTTGGAGGAAGTTAAAAGTTTTTAATAGTTAAGACGTGGCACAACTACAAAAAGGTGCACATTACAACAGCAAGTGGCAAGCAAATATACTATAACAAATTTTCCTTCTGTAATACGACTATCGGCGATGATAAGTTCCTCTAATTTACTTACATCGATTATTTACATCTACAGTAGATGTTTGCCATAGCTGTGAAAATATGATTTTATGAAGGGAAGTATTTGTCTAAAACATGCAAAGTTCAGCTCTCCATCAGTTGATAGTTTATTGCACTGACACAGCAAACTACAGGTTACGTAGTGTCTTGTATGGGGATGTGTGCTTGACAGGAAGGAGGTGTGTATGTGTGTAAGAGAAGACTGTACAAGTGTCTCTGTGTTTGTGTGTGTGTGTAAAGTGTGCGCATGTATGTTGGCCTCAAGCACAGAGTGCTGCTCCACCTAACAGAGTGAGCCCCTGCTACAGACTGAAACTGGAGGTCTCCTGTCACATGACCACAGACCCAGGCTTTGCCACCCGACCCCTCACTAACACAGAGCATCTTGTCCTAACCCAGGCGGTTGTAGTGGGATTTAAACTGTGTGTTAAACTAACACGTATATCAGCACTGCTCACTGAGGGCTTGACTTTGGTTTGACAGACTGGACTGGGAAATGTTTCTTCGGCAGGAAACTGAAAAACTTCTTAATTTACTGAAGCAGTGTTATTTTAGTAGTATTTATTAATTATTTTTAATTAACTGGTATTTGCTGGTCAGTATTTATTTTAATTTTAGTTTGTTTTAATAATGTTGTTATGTGCTTTTATCATTTTTATTAGTTTTTGCTTTTTAGCTTTAATTGTATTGCAGTTTTAGTTTTATTAAATTTTTTACTTCAACTTCAACTTGCCAAGGCTAACTGTTGGTACAAAAACTGTTTCAAGTTTTCATCAATCTAACATTTATATTTTATTTTATTTCATCTTTAATTCAATTACCGAAACAAATCCTGCTATAAAGTATGAAAGTGTTTAAAATGTTTAGTGTTTAAACATTTAATTTGTTCTTTAATGCTTTTCATTAAAAATTAAAGTTTACTTTTTTTTCTTTTCTTTTTTTTTAACTTTTTTAAAATAGAAATGAAAAATATTCATTTTTTAAATCATGTAAATTCCCTTAAAACATTTTTGGGTGTTTATACACAACCTGAACGAGACATTTTAGAGTAAATCATTTCTTTATCACTCTATACTTTGTCTTATGTTTTCGTCTAGAATGTCAGATTACTGCCGTAAACTAATATCCCTCATTCCCCAAATCCCTCCTTTAATATCCCATTGTCATTAAATCTCTCCATCTGTCCTCTCAGCAGCGGAGCAGCCGTGCTGTAAAGCGCTCTATGACTTTGATCCGGAGAACGAAGGCGAGCTGGGCTTCCACGAGGGTGACATCATCAATCTGACCAATCAGATCGATGAAAACTGGTATGAAGGCATGCTGCGTGGCCAATCCGGATTCTTCCCTCTCAACTACGTGGAGGTGATCGTTCCTCTGCCACACTAAGTGACCTCTGTCATGGAAAAGAGGGGAGGAGAGAGAGAAAGAGCAATAAAAAAGTGAAAGGGAGAAAGCTGGAGAGAAGTGAGGTAGGGAGAAAGGAGCCAGTTGAAATCATCTTGGTCTTCATCCTCACCACATTGTTGCCGTTGATCCAAATGTACCTGTACTCTGGCACTTTTACACATTGATTTATTTTTGAAGGAGGGAACTTTGGAAAATGACGACCTTTCACATTCCAGGACTGACTGACTTACTGGCCGGTTGACTGACGTACGGATGGTATAACTTGTTCCTTAAGCTAAAATTTCAGAGACACTCTAACTCACTTCGTCGTCCAAGTCTTTTAATGATGTTTCATACTGTTTGTGCTTCATTAACTGAAAAGAAAAGAATGCAGATCATGATATCCCTGTGATACAATTCTCATGTTTTTAAAGAGTAGACAGGCTAGTCTTTATCTACTTACAAATTCTTTATCTACATACAAATTCTCAACTGTTGGATTGTGAAAAGTTGCATTTTGACTCGACTGGTCCCCTTACCGCCCCCTGCTGGTCAGGCTGCGACATTGACCTGCCTCAGATTAAGGAGAAACCGCCTTGTATCTGTGACGGACACATTAGCACTGGGGCTGTGTGTGAAATGTCCCAATGTGCAGCAATCCTGAGCCACAGACCTGTTGAGAGAAATTAGTCCTTTTCTATGCTCCATAATTTTAACATAGCTTTTCGTCATCTAATATTTTTCATGTATATTTTTTACAAGATAAAAGAAATTAGACGCTGAATTGCACCTTGGATCTCGTCATAAAGGTGAGCTAAAACACTTAATGGATGTGTTTAGTCAGGTGGAGAGGGTTTTACTGCACTACAACCGTTTATAAAGTATGAAACACTATGCTTCCCCTTTTACCATTTTTAACCCAGAGGGCGGCAAATAAATAATTTGCGCACTGTTTTCTGAAGGAAACACAGCCAAATAGTTATTTAAATGGAAATGTCTTCTTCTGGCAGCCTGAATTATAGAGTCTTCCTCTCTCTTTCTCCTCTTTTGAAGTCAGTTTACGGTATTCTGTACATCTGATGCTGCTGGCAGTGTCCCATTATTTCAGGTGTGTATATCTGGGTGTTTAGGGTGGATGTTGGCTCATAAGCCCCGTGTTAAATTTAATTTACACAGAATTTCTTTATTAACAAATACTACTTCTCATCTTCAGAAATGAAGGGATGGTGCTACATCTCTTGCTCTCACCCATCACTTTTAAAGGATTATTACAGCTTTAAAAGTGGTTGAAGATCTAGTTTATCTATTTTACTCAGAGTTCCCTAGTTCTTAGGATGTTTTTTTTTCTTTTCAAATACTGCACTCCATAAAAGCATGGACCTACACACCATCTTGGTGGTTCTGAACATACCAACATCTGTCCCTCCACCCCGACTCCATGTCCTGTCTGCACAGAGCACCTCTGTGACCTTTTCCTCCCAGTGTCTGTTTACATGTTTTGTCCACGGTTTGTTTTGCTCACCGTAACAGACTATTGTAGATGTGCTGAATCAGACAGGCTACGGTGACCGTTTCAATGTGAAAAAAGGGTTTTAGTGCCTTTTCGATGGCATGAATCAATCTAGAACACCAAACAAAATATTAATTATGATTTTAGATCTAATATGTAGTTTCTATGTCTGTCCTCTTTCATTATTTACGAAAGGGCTTGTTGGTTTCAGTATTTGGCATGAGCTGTGACCAGATGTACAAGCATGAGTACAAATGTGCCTTTGCAACACTACAAGTTTAAGAAAACAGCAAGTGGGTTATTTCTGTCTAATGGAATGAGGGTACCAGAACGATTTTATGAAAGTAAATCATTCTGGTCCTACTCTTTTTAGTATTATATTGTTTTTTTTATATACATACAAAACCATTCAACCTTTTTTATTAATGATTTTTGCATGTTAGCTTAATAGCAGGCTGATGTATGTTTTAGTTTTAAAGTCTCCTCTTGTATGTCTCAGATTTAACTGCATAATATTGTTTTTTTTTTAAGTATTCCGAACTCTAAATATTTGTATCTTATTGTGTCCACTCGTCTTTAAGTAAATAAATTCAAGAAAGTACTCAATCTGTTTCACTTGTATGAGTATGAACTGTTTCTTTAATTATACGGTAAGAAAAACATGATGTTACGAGGTTAAGTCGGAAGGAAATGGAATCGGCACATTTCATTTGTTCCAGTGTATATTTTAAGGTATTCAGCAGGTAAAAGGCATTGTTCCCATATTGCGTAGTCAACATGGCACAAATCTAACCACACAAACAGATAAATACTAGTCAAAAGAAAGAGAGAGAAAGAACTCACTTAACCATCTTCTCTTTCCTAACTACCCACCAGACATTCCTAGCACACAGGAAGACAAGTTTCACAGCACAGATATGGCAGAAACGCATAAACCACGGCCAGTGATACAGACCTAATAGTCCTAAAGGCAACAGTTTGGACGGAAGCATATATGATATATCCTCCATGAAGGCATTTCATATACAGTATAACAGTGCACAGAGTCAGACGGTAATGCACAGGGCAAGAGGTCCCAGGTCAACAGTTCTACAGCTTAACACAAATGCACAGACATAAACCGCTCTGGTCACTGAGTGTTGCGCAGTTGGTTGTACACGTGCTCCAGGATCTGTGCATACGCCTGGTCTTTGGGTGCGTGGCCACACAGAGAAGCCTGAGAATGAGAAAACAAGCGTTTCTTTAAACATTGCTAGTCAGACATATAATCATGCTTTGCTGTGAGATTATTGTTAATGGCACTGAATTATGCAAATGATAATGTTTTAAAGGTAATATTTTGGATGTTTAAATTTCTTTCCGTTCTAGCATAATATGCAAAGACAACTTAAAACATTCATAGACTTAACGGTGTACACTTTAAAGAGAAATCAACCTGTGTATATGCACTTTAAAAGTTTTATTTCAGTCAGATAAAAGCAATAATTTATTTTTAAAGTGTCAAACTTAATTCTGACTGAAATCATACCAGTCTGATTTCGGTGCTTTTAAAGCATAACTGTTTGAGCATCCTGACCCAGGGGCGTAGCCATCATTTCAAAAGTGAGGGGGACAGAATGTCAAGGTTTTTTTTCAGACTTTTGTTGACAGGTTTTTGCTTAATTGGTTTAATATGCTATTTATTTTTAAAGCAATAAAACAGAAAGAAAGAAATGCAGATGTTCAGTACTTTATATTGCACATGCAGGGTTTTTCCTGGTTTAAAACGAGGCGGAGGTGTTAAAATCCCGACCATGTATTTAAATTAGATAATAAAATGTTAATTTTTCGTAGACCACCATATAGCCTACTGTGTTACCCACATTATTTTTGTAGGTGGATCTCGGTACTTCTAGGGGGGTCCGGGGGCATGCCCCCCCGTAAGAATTTTTTTTACATTTTTAAAGATAAATTCATTAATCTGGTGCACTTTGAGTCACTCGAATCTGTTGTTTAAAATAAATAATCCACTCGCCAACCGCCCACAAAATGGCAAAATTACATTTCCTTAAAAGCCTAAACAATGTCTGTCTTACTAAACTATCCAATTGAAAACCTTCAAACTTCAAGCTTTTAAAACTACTTCAAACTTTCTAGTTAGGCTTTTTCAAGAGAACTTAAAGTTTGTCTATAACTTTTTTATCTAATTGTAAAGTGTTACCGAATTATGGTAAACATCATGTAAATGTTAGAACGCTGCCTGATTCAAGCAGATCGTGGCTGTTAATGCATGAAAATACTAATTCAGCATTAACAATCACCATGTTTATTCTAATTTGAAGGGCTTTGATAACATATCTGTGAAAATAAAAGACATTACGAATAAAAAAGATTGAAAACAGTGCACGTTTTTTCGGGTAGTGAATATTTTCAATTTACAACAAAACTTCTTAATTATTCTATAAGCAGAGTTATTCATCATTGTGCAACACAATTCGGATACCACATGACAACTTACTTACAGTGCTTGACTTTTTCGTGAAAATGGAGTGAAGAGCTTTTTGCCGTTTTGAACTGATACTGATGGATTTGGCGCGGATGCGAGCATGGGCGTGTCGTAGGCTAATGCACGAGTGACTGATTACCATGGAAACGTGAAAGTCACGTATGTAGATAGACTATCCTTGACTCTTTGGATTTTAAATCTCGATGTAGGCTACCCGCGAAAACCTCAGCTTGTCGTATACACACTTGCCCTATGAAAAAGTGCGGGGGACGAATTTACATTTTATAAAAAGTGGGGGGACATGTCCCCCCCGTCCCCCGCGTAATCTACGCCCATGTCCCGACCAGTCCGACATTGGCTCATCCAATAATGTGAGTTTGCACTATATATATCGAGTAAAGGAAGACCGAGTGAGTGTTCAGTAAACCTGTTTGAATTATTTTTGCAATCCTGACACTAGTGGCACCTTTAAGAATAATCTTAATGATGTAATTGTAAATCATGAAATTGATTGTGTTTTGTTTGTTTAGTGTATGTGGGAGGGAGAGAAATTATGGCTGACCTTGATTTTGTCAAGTATAGAGGTATTAGGACTCCACATCTGACTGAACTGCACCAGGTCAGGAGCAGACCGATAAAACTCCACCAACAGCATCTACACAGAAAGATATAAAAATAAGAAACAAATATAGATCTTAGCTTATCAAAAGACGTTGGTTTAATCTAATCTAGAGTGAGGTGTTATCTAGAACTGCAGGAAAAGACAACCAGTGAGTGATTCGCTTCAAAAAGATTACTTCTGAGACATACTGAACTGTAGAAGGGAATAAAATTCCTGTTTTCCCAAGATGGATGTTGATACATAAATATAACATGCTAGTCGTAATCATACCATCTCATTAAGCACGTCTGTAGTGAGGAAGTTGTCTTGCACGTATGTGACCTCTACTGCCACTGGGATGCCGTAATCATTGGGTCGTTGCTAAATGGAAGGGGAAATTAGATTAAGCAATAACACTTTACAGTGTCCTTGTTACGTTACATGTAGTTACCCTTTAGTAAGTACATGTAGTTCATTTTTATTACTCAGTACTTAAATATATAATTACACTGTAACAATAACACCTTAAAATAAAGTGTAACACTTTATTTTAAGGTGTCCGTGTTACAGTGTAATTACACATTAAAGTACTGAGAAATAATAATTAACAATATGTAATTACTATAGGGTTAAGATAGGATTAGGTTTTGGTTGAGGGTTAATTGCATGTAATCATGCATAATTTACTGTTATTACTATGGTGAGTACATGTAACATATGTAACAAAGACACTGTCAAATAAAGTGTTACCAAATAAAGTGTAATCGAGTAAACTACTAGTTTAGCGAACAATTATTAGCAAATGTTTAAGAACAGTTACCTCAGGAGGGGGAACTACCCAGAATGGTGTGATGGTGGAGGCCACACCTTGGTTGCCATGATAATAGGGTCCTATAAGTGATGAGACAAAGGAAAGAAAAGACTTATCACTGATCATGGTTTGTGTTGCATAGTGATCGTCTGTTAAATCCATCACGCACCACAGATAATCCCCAGACAGGGCTGGAAACCGTTACTGCTGCCTTGTAGGCGGAGCTGGTGATCCATCTGCGAATCGATGTCCTGTAGAGAGGGAAGGGCGGGGCCTCGGGGGTGACTGTGATACCATCCCACCAATGACAGCCCGCGCATGAAGAGATTTTGACAAATCTGCATAGTTCAAACAGATCGAAGGGTAAATTGCAGGAGACTATGGTACATTTCTATGTTTTTACAGCCAACACAATAGTTTTGCAGACTAACCTCTTCTTCGACAGCTGGGGCAGCGTCTTTATCAGCCAATCGCGTACGGCATGGGAACGCCCGCAAGACTGTAAGCACTGATGAAGATGAAATGTCAATTTTGAGTGTTTCTAACCTCCAATTTGCTATTACAGTAGTTACAAAAATGTTTACACTTACATTGTGTGTTAGTGTCCCATCGGCCCCCTAAATACCCCACAACCTCACTTGTGGTCAGGTGACAGTGGAAATCCTAAGAATAGAGGTTGGGTAAGTGTTATATATTGCCTTCAACTGTTAAAAATAATTTTCATATCATCAGTATTGACTTGATTTTAGAAATCAAAAATCCATGAGCACTTTATACCATCAGCAGCAGAACATTGCTGGAAACGGCTACATTAAAAGGCTGGAAGCGGTTGATCGCAGAAAAGGCGGAGAGCTCTACGAGAGTGTGTGGATCCCTTTGAAGACAAACACAGGAACATTCAGGTACACTGCCGGTCAAAAGTTTGGGGTCAGTAGGTTTTTTTTAATGTTTTTGAAGAAAGTGTCTTATGCTCCATTTATTTGATCAAAAATAGTAAAAACTGTAATATTGTGGAATATTATTACAACTTAAAATAAATCTTTTCTATTTTAATATATTTTGAAATATAATTTATTCCTGTGATGGCAAAGCTGAATTTTCAGCATCATTACTCCAGTCTTCAGTGTCACATGGTCCTTCAGAAATCATTCTAATATGCTGATCTCATGCTCATGAAACATTTCTTATTATTATCAATGTTGATAATGGTTGTGCTGCTTAATATTTTTGTGGAAACTAGGATGCTCTTATAAATATAAAGTTCTAAATTAAAACATTCATTGAAAACTTAATTGTTTTATTAAAAATATAAAAGTCTGTCATTTCTGAGCAATTAAACGCTGAATTAATTTCTTTCAACAACAAAAAATCGTATTGACCCCACACTTTTGAACGGTAGTGTTTGTTAGAGAGCATAATTTCCATAATGCATTACAGTGTGGTCTTAGAATTTTTCATCAGTGTTTTTCTGCCTCAAAACTTAGAACTGAACAAACCGGAAGCGTGGGGACCTCGGGCAGGTAAATTAAGATGCAGTAAATGTCATCATAAAATTGTCATATCACACTGTTTTACAGCAATAAATAAATATAACAGATATACCTCAGGACATAATATGTGGTTCAAATATATTTCATAATAATAATAATTACCTTGTTGCATCTCTGGTGCCAAGAGTGCAATACCTGATTGGAACTCTCTCTCTTTCCCTCCTCTGCATCAGGCTAATGTCTGGGGGAACATGAAATAACTTATGCTTACTAAGCTGTAACCTTAAACAGATCAAGTCATCACCTCTCAGGTGCCATGTTTTTATGAGGAATCAGGGCGATTGGGTGAAGTTTTTTCTATGTAATGTTTAGGTAGATAACATCATACCGTGCAGCTCAGGTTTGGACTTTTTATTCTTGTCCTCTACTGGCATGGCCGTTTTCCCTTCCTCTTCGTCATCATCTCCCATCTCATCATCCTCTCCTTCACTTATCAAGCTCTGAGGTAAACAAATCAAATCATACACAAACTGCTGGTTGCACAGTAATTGTTCATCATTTATCCCCTTTTAAATTCTTGTTTACTATTGTTTACATGTTGTAAGCTCTTAATAAATTTCCCTCCATTGCTCACCATGTCGGCACTGGGTTGGTATTTGTGCAGCCAGGTGGTTTTGTACTGGACCAGTTTCTGTCCACGATACCGCACCGAAGCCCAGCCGCAGCCAGACTTCTTGGCCGGGTTCACCAGGCGCTTGCAGTGTGTTGCCCAGGCGCTTGGAGAGTTAAAGATCTGCCCGGTCTCCACCCAACGGATCTTCCCATCATTCAACAGATCTCCAACAAACTTTTTACCCTAAGGAGACATAGACAGAGACAGAGTTATTGCACCTGACCAATTTTTTCACCAAAAATTCTCTCATTATTTATTCCCCCTCATGACAGTCGTGGTCACCATTCAGTTTCATTATATGGAATAAAAGAAAGGAGCTAACTAGGACATTCTGCTAGATCATTTTTAATCTTGTAGATGCCACCGACTTTTTTAATACACTTTTCCATGTTTTGACAGGTCTGGAAGCGTGAATAAATGCTACCGTTTTCATTTATTGGTGAACTATTTCTTTAATGATAAAAGGTATAAGTGGTAATAGCCCTTATGATGAAGTTTCTGGACAGTACCAGGTAGTGTATGGACAGAACGCCATCTCCAGGCTCCACAAGACCATCCTTTAAGAGGACTCTTAGTGTGATGCCTCTCCTGGTCAGGAGGGAACCCCTCCCAGAGGAAGCCCTCAGGTCAGCATCTTCAGCCCCACTCAACTCCTCATCCTCTTCATCTGCTCCTTCTTCGACAACCTGAGGAGACGAGGGTGGCTCTGAGCCTGAGGACAAACAACAGACAGAAATAAGGAATTAATACAGGCAGGGATACGTCGAGCATCATTATTAATTGGTTGGAATCATCTAAATCCTGGCAAAGAGAATTGATATCTGATATTTTATTCAAGGCATTAAAAGAAAATTCATAAGCAAATTTTATATTTTATTTACAAAATTACATTATAATGTCCTCAGATCAAGTTAAAACAGTTTTCAAACATAATCTCACAAACTTGTACATTGTAAAATTATAATGTCCTTCGAACAAAGTATTTACTTGGGACTCTGAACTCTCATGTGGAGGGGGAAAAAAATGCTTTTTATTGTGGGACAAAAAAAATGGTCAACACAGAGAATCTCACATCAGGGAATCAGCGACTGTCCGCTGCCATCTCCATCTGATACGCTTTTTTCCCCAGAAATTAAAACAAAACCGCTCTGATAATTTGTCGAGAAACGGTTCGTCCTTCGCGTGTTTTGTTCTCGCTCCTTTCCGCAACCCCGCGGCCTAGTAATTATTAATTTCACCCGCTTATTAAAAATCACTATTTTTTTTTTAATTCTCACCCATTTCGTGATAATCGTCGGAAAACGCTTTGACCTGAAACTGCTCCACAGACTGATGTGATGTCTTTCTTTCCGCCACTTCAGTTTGGCGGTGTTAATATAACACTTCTGTGCGGACACTCGCCACCAGGCTGTTATTCAAAAACATAAAATGAAGGCTTGTGTGTCTGTGTCTGCAGTGTGTGGTTTCCTTGTGTAGTGTTGCTTTAATGTCAATTCCCCTCCCCTTTCTCCTTCCTACCCGTCCTTGTCATTTACTCTCTTTTATAAATTAGCGGTGTTTGTGGTCGTAGACTCTCCAGCACGGGCGAGCGGATGTGGTAAACTTTGCATTGCTGTTACAACGGAAGACATATTCGCAGAAATATTACAAGCAAATTGGCTGCGATTGTTTACCATTTTGTGGTTATATCAGTTTAGATACAGTTTCTAATGGCCCTGGACCACGGTCAAATGAGCAGTCGACTGGGACCCAGCAGTGGACAGCTGGTTTGGTTTGTTTGGGCAATATTGCGTGTATAATATAGGGTTTACGGTATTGAATGAAACGTAATCTCACTGTTAAATGTTCTCACCGTTAGATGTCGCCAAAGAACGCCGTATTCTTCCAGTGCATTTGAAAAATAGAAAACATTTTTGAAACTTATAAACATCAATCATCATGTCATCAGCCGAATCCTGTAGTGTTTAAGACAACGACATTTTTTATTTTAAATCTAACCTCAAACTGCCTCTGATACAAGCACACATTGGACACTGGTAAAATGAATTTTAAATACTGTAGCCTAATCATAATCTCTTACTGATATGAATCAGGTTATTAAGAGTTTTCTCTTTGAAACGTAATGGCACATATTCTACATACCATTACGAAATGGAAACTATAGCTAAAAGGACATCTTTTTTGCATAGGATTTATATCTCGGGTATTTCCTCGTATGGTTTCGTTTACTTGCCTGGGGTGATGGGTTTTTTTGTCTGCAGGTGACATACGTTTCTTCTCAATGGGCGGGACTTTCGTGCCTTCCGGCGGCAACCTCGAGCGAACTTGACTCACCTGAGTTCAGGTAAGGGGGTGGGAAATAAGTATGACAGCACGTAGAACTCTTCAAATAGTCTTTTTTTTTTACTTCCAGTCCACAGGGTTTCTGTTCGTCTCTAACTTTTTATAAAGCTTTAGCACCTGAACTCTGTGATGTAGGCTATTTGACCGTTTAATCTAACGCATTAAACGTGCAGGTGGACAGTGAAGCGTCTTCTTTTTAAACACCTGAATTGTTTTATAAGAAGTTTGTTGTTGGCGGGAGAGTAACTTCTGAAGTTATGGCAGCAGCAAATCGCCATAGACGAGTGAGATCTCAGCTGCCAACATGTTATTACGAAGGCTTTCTGGAAAAGAAATCCATCAAAGACAAGGTGAGTGTAATATAGCCCTATACGTGCACGCGGTGTTTAAACCACAAATTTATTTAATTATTAATATAGCCTATATATATCCCGTCAAATCAAAAAATTAATCAGAAACCAGATATAATTTTTTATATTTGTACTAGTGGGTGCAGGACACTGTAGTTCATTTATGTAAGTGAGGATAGCAAAATAAAGTAATCTGTGACATATTATTCCACAAAATTCTTCATACAGTGGACTAAGTAAAATTTATAAAAATATGGGACCAAATATTATTCAGACACTTTGACCTGACCATGTTTTGCTTTAGTGTTTTTGCTTTATTGCTTTAATTGCTAATGATTTTACACCACAGAGTGAACAAAATTAAGCATTGCTTGATAATTGGTTGACCTAAATTGGTATTATATAATTGTGTACTTAGTTTCATAGCTAAGAGCTATTTAATTCATTTGTGAGACAGAGACTGTCGCCTTTCTTCGCCTTTGTCGCCATTGGCTTTTGGCTTGCTTAGTTGGGGACATTTCATTTTATATTTTAACAATATTATTACAACAATATTTTCCTGTTATCTCTGTAAAGCTGCTTTGAAACAATCTGTATTGTAAAAAGCGCTATATAAATAAAGGTGACTTGACTTGACTTAACAGAAGAATGGCCAAAACCAGTGAAATATCAATTTCATATTTTATTACCATTTTCTTAACTATAGCGAATAAACTGATAATGTGAGAAATGTTGAAAGTTGGTTTGACTGTGTGTATGTACATATATATATAGTTTTTAAACAATCTCACAAACGTGTATATCGTAAAATTATAATGTCCTTCAAACAAAGTCTTTACGGGACTCTAAACTCTCATGCGGGAAAATATGGCTTTTATTGTGGGACACGCATATATATATATATATATATATATATACACTGAACAAAATTATAAACGCAACACGTTTTTGCCCCCATTTTTCATGAGCTGAACTCAAAGATCTAAGACTTTTTCTATGTACACAAAAGGCTTATTTCTCTCAAATATTGTTCACAAATCTGTCTAAATCTGTGTTAGTGAGCACTTCTCCTTAGCCGAGATAATCCATCCACCTCACAGATGTGGCATATCAAGATGCTGATTAGACAGCATGATTATTGCACAGGTGTGCCTTAGGCTGGCCACAATAAAAGGCCACTTTAAAATGTGCAGTTTTACTGTATTTTGGGGGTCCTGGGGGGGTCTGAAAACCAGTCAGTATCTGGTGTGACCACCATTTGCCTCACGCAGTGCAACACATCTCCTTCGCATAGAGTTGATCAGGTTGTTGATTGTGGCCTGTGGAATGTTGGTCCACTCCTCATCAATGGCTGTGCGAAGTTGCTGGATATTGCCAGGACCTGGAACACGCTGTCGTATACGCCGATCCAGAGCATCCCAAACATGCTCAATGGGTGACATGTCCGGTGAGTATGCTGGCCATGCAAGAACTGGGATGTTTTCAGCTTCAAGGAATTGTGTACAGACCCTTGTGTACAGAACATGGGGCCGTGCATTATCATGCTGCAACATGAGGTGATGGTCGTGGATGACTGGCACAACAATGGGCCTCAGGATCTCGTCACAGTATCTCTGTGCATTCAAAATTCCATCAATAAAATGCACCTGTGTTCGTTATCCATAACATACGCCTGCCCATACCATAACCCCACCGCCACCATGGGCCACTCAATCCACACCATTGACATCAGCAAACCGCTCAGCCACACAACGCCATACACGCTGTCTGCAATCTGCCCTGTACAGTGAAAACCGGGATTCATCTGTGAAGAGAACACCTCTCCAAAGTGCCAGACGCCATCGAATGTGAGCATTTGTCCACCCTAGTCGGTTACGACGACAAACTGCAATCAGGTCGAGATCCTGATGAGGACGACGAGCATGCAGATGAGCTTCCCTGAGATGGTTTCTGACAGTTTGTGCAGAAATTCTTTGGTTATGCAAACCCATTGTTGCAGCAGCTGTCCGGGTGGCTGGTCTCAGACGATCTTGGAGGTGAAGATGCTGGACGCTCCCTCAAAACTTGCGACATCTGTGGCATTGTACTGTGTGATAAAACTGCACATTTTAGAGTGGTCTTTTATTGTGGCCAGCCTAAGGCACACCTGTGCAATAATCATGCTGTTTAATCAGCATCTTGATATGCCACACCTGTGAGGTGGATGGATTATCTCGGCAATGGAGAAGTGCTCACTAACACAGATTTAGACAGATTTTTGAACAATATTTGAGAGAAATAAGCCTTTTGTGTAGAAAAAGTCTTAGATCTTTGAGTTCAGCTCATGAAAAATGGGGGCAAAAACAAAAGTGTTGCGTTTATAATTTTGTTCAGTGTGTATATATATATGTGTGTGTGTGTGTGTATACTGTATCAGCATTGCTGCTGATGAAAAAAATAGCTTAAGCCATCTAAAGGAGGTCTTATCTGCTGAAGGTTTTTCAGATGGATTATCTGAAAAGTGTACCCCAAACTTCTTTAAAACCAGCCAGAATGGATCCAGCTTGGGCTGGTTTAAGATGTTTTTGTAAACTGGGATATTTTCATCATGTGTAATGATTTTATTTGGCTTATACAGTGTAAAAAGTGAGTTTATAGCTTACAAAACTATTTCTAATTGATCGGATTATTAAAAATAAAATGAATTCTGTAACTCTGTAATCAGATGTATTCAGTCGTATTAGAAGTTTTTTAACCAGTTCATTATTAGACCCATTAGCTTCAAAATGAAAATCATTTTAAATCTCCAGTTTTAATGAAAGCAAGGAACTTATTTAATTTACTGGGCTTCAGCTAGAGGCAACCTTGTGGACCATCTTCTTATCATGACCATTGGTTACTATCTTTTATTGTCACTCATTTGTAGTTTTACTGTAAATCTTTAATCAACTTGTATCTCAGTTTTTCTGTAGAAGGTTCATCCCTCTCTAAATGGCACAGTTATTTGAATTCTTTCATGACTAAACTTGAACATATGTTTGATGTCTTTAACTGCTTATTTTGAAATGTATTACAATGTATGCATAAAAGCTGTACATCTGTTAGTTATACCTATGTATTTTCTGTTGGAAATATGGGTAACACTTTACAATTAGGTCTTATTTGTTAACATTAGTTAATGCAGTAACTAACATGAACTCACAATGAGCAATACATTTTTACACCTTTTATTCATCTTTGTTAATGCACTGTGAAATAACGTGAACAATGTTAACAAATACAACTTTTGATTGAAAAAATAGTAACATTATTTGATTATTATTATTTTTTGCATTTTTATTTTATTCATATAAACAGGAAATGTAATATTCATACACTGTTTATTTGAGTCCTGCAGTGACCTTAACAAACGTGCATTTTGTAATAGCTTCGCAGAAAAGTATTTATGGACACAGTTTGTTCTAGAAAATGCTTTACATTTTAATGTTAGCAAACTTTAAAGACACCAAATTGTAAAAAAAAAAAAAAAAAAAAAAAGTGAATAGTAAAGACACCTAATATAAAGTGACCAGTAATCATCAAGAGAGCAGAAGTTGTTTTCTCTGGTCATCAAAAGAGCGTCACACAAGTGTCTGTTGCAACATGGGAACTGTTTTCCTACAAATGTGGAAATGTCAACAAAAACTGGTCTGGTGGGATGCTTGCATGCAGATCAAACACTACAGATAAAGGATTTGCGTTGTAAAGATGGTTTTAGTAAAGGCTTTTGTGTTTGTTTTTGTGGGGTTTTTTTTTTTACAAATTGGGTCTTAGCTTATATCCTGCTGAATGCTGATAGAGCTCATCACATTTGAAAAAAATGTGTCTTTTTTTTAGTTAATGATTTATTAAAGGTCAGCACAGACCTAAATGTTTTGCATTTTGACGTGCACTTTGATGACGGACATTCTTGATAGTTTGGGATTATAACTGAAGATATATAAAGACTGGAACTAGTTCAAATAAAATATAATCACGCCTTTGGTCAAGTCTTGTTTCTGTAGTGTTCTTTCTGAAGAAAATAACGTTCCATTGTTTTCTACATTCCTTTAAT